GACATAAGTTGTGCCATACATTAGGTAAAGTTGCAAATCATAGTTTGAATTCCATTTGGTTGGTTGTGGGGCAGTTGCATTTGTGCAGTTTCGCCTTTAAACATATTTGCATAGCTTCTTTGTGTAGCATTGTCTTTAAGATTTCCTGGCTTTGAAATATAGACGGGGACTTTAATATCTTCGTTAGGAGGAATATTTAACATTTGGTTACGGCATATTTCAATACCGACAGACACTTTCGTTTTTAAATATTTATATACAGGACAACCCCTATAGTTTGCAGTGTGATTTCTCTTACAATAACTGCATTTTTTATTTAAATTATCTTTTTTAAGAGTAAATTTTGAAGTAGGATATAGCTCACCACATTTCGTGTATCCATGCCCTTGGCAGTTTATGCATTGTATCGGGCCATTTCTCTTAAGTGATTCCTCAACTGTAATTCTGCGATGGAGCAGATATATTAGATTGTAAATCGGATATGTTTGGCATCAATTCTATTTTGAACATTGGTTGTGGAACTTGTTTCTGTAAAAAATATTAGCTTTTGATTTAGTACTAAAACCACATTCTTCCAGTGCTTTTTTAACATCATTAGAGTCTACCGAAGACTCCTTTTATCACAACTACTATTCCTTTGGAGCTCTTCAGTTGGCAAGAGTAGTAATTTTTGTTATTTATTCAATATATGTTTGAATTTTTTTTTTCATCTATGTTACCTTTTTTCAAGCGCACAATGTGAAAATTGTTTGTGACTATTAAAATGTTTGTTTTGGAGACAAGCTTAATTAAGCTACGCTCACGCAAATAGATTGGAGGGAGTTTGGCAGTAAGGCAAATCCGTTTCCATTAAAAATTTCTGTATTAGCTGCAGATTTAATTGAACTCGATTTCAATTTTACATTTATGTAGCGGTCAATACCAGTCTGAACAAGTTTTCCTTTTTTGCTTGGTCAATTCTCACCTTTCGTTTTGTTTTCCTTCGCTGTCCGGGTGCTTGCTGCATAGTGGTTGCTGTCGGCGCATGTTTGTTGCCCGATTTGCTGTTTACTGCTGACTGCGTTTCCCATGACTTATATTATGACTCATCATCGCCGTTTCATTTGTTGTTGCCAGGAGTTGAAATAGGCATTTAAAGAATGCTGCTAAGGCTGCGCAGCACTTATTAATGTTGTTTTATATATTTTTATCTATTTGTTTCGTAAACTTTTTGTTAATTATTAATAACTAGAGGACCCGTCCACTTCACTGTGGCTGTATTGATTTCAATTTGGATTATAACTATTAGTTAATGAGATATAGAATTTTTGTGAAGCAACTTGTGTTAGTTTACAAAGAAATTAATCATAAATCATTTCTTGCGTTAATAAAGCATTTCTTTTTGGTGGAAAATGCTGTTGAATTTGGGCTCATAAAAATCCACCGATGTAAAGATATTTGCTAAGCTTAAAGAGGCGAAAGCTCTGTGCAAAGTGGGTGCCTCGCAAGTTCATAATTCAACAAAAACAACGAATAATTGATTCTAAGAAGTGTGAATAGAAACATAGCTCGACCCTTTTCCACTGAAGTCCCATCCGGGGGAACCGGTGCTCAGGCGTGAAAAGACAAAAAAGTCGGCTGGAAAGGTTATGACATCAGTATTTTGGGTTGCACGTGGTATAATACATACCCAACAACTGATTATTGAGCCAGCTAGAAACTATTTCACTGCTTATTTAGGAAGAATCTCTTTAAAATTGTACGCATATATTCAAACATTTCCTACAAACATGAATTTTAATCAAGTGCTTATTATTTGAAATATAATTTTTGTATTATATTTATGAGTTGATTTTAAATTTTGTCATAAAGTGATAAAATCCTATGTCGATACCCTGATTCTAAGTTACCTCTTCTCCAATTTTTCGAAAAATCGGTTCAGCCGTTCTTGAGTTATAAATGGCGTAACTAACACAACTTTCTTTTATATAAATAGATTTGTGTGCACTGTTTTTTATGTTAATATTTGTTTTTAATTTATTGTTATTGTGTGTTTACGTTTTGTAAAATCAGAATACACGGAAAGAATTAAAAAAGCAGGTCCGCACACCTTGAATATTCTCAAAGAATATGTGGCTTCAGACCTGGAAAATCAACAACTGACCAGATATTCAATATGCACCAAATCTTGGAAAAGACCCATGAAAAGAGGATCGGCACACACCACCTCTTCGTCGATTTTAAAGCTGCTTTTGACAGCGAGGAAAATGACTGCCTTTATGCCGCTATATTTGAATTTGGTATCCCCGCAAAACTAATGCGGCTGTGTAAGCTGACATGCAATACCAAAAGCTCCTTCCGGATCGGAGAGGACATCCAAACGAGGTTTCAAACAAGGCGACCGCCTATCGTTTGACTTCTTCAATCTTCTGCTGCAGAAAATAATTCGAGCTGAGAACTTAATAGAGAAGGTGCCATCTTCTATAAGAGTGTACAGCTGCTGGCGTATGCCGATAATATTAATATCATTATCCTCAACAACCGCGCTATTACTTCTGATTTCTCCAGATTGGAAAAAGAAGCGAAGCAAATGGGTCTGGTGGTTAACGATGGCAAGACGAAATATCTTCTGTCATCAACCGAACAGTCGTCGCACTCGTGGCTGGGCTACCACTTCACTGTTGACAGTCATAGCTTCGAAGTGGTAGATAATTTCTTGTCTCTTGGAACCAAAGTTAAAAAGTTAACACCAGCAACAATCTCAGCAATCCAACGCAGAATCACTCTTGCGAACACATTGCAAAAAGAAGAAACAGAAAAGAAAGAATAGCAAGGTTTAAATCATTCGCAACACATTTTTAATTTACGAACAATATGCCATATTTTACTTTCGGACATTATCTTGAAAGAGGTATTATTAGAAACGTTATCCCAATTTTCATATCAAACGGTACATTATAGTGAGTTAAATTGAATTTTAACTAGCCCTCGTTTAGACTCTCGTATGGATTCCTTCGGGATGAGAAGGCTGTTTGCTTCTTGAAAAGCCACTCGTGTTACAGATATTTTTTTTTGCATTTCACCGACGCATGGGAAGTCGGAATGGAATAGTAGACTATAAACACCTACGCGCTATTGTGTTTAAAATACATTAGTAAGGAAATAATAAAGTCTCCATCTGCCTGTTTTTGTAGACTTCGGTTTGATCTTCTGGCAACTCAGTGCGGCAATGAAGTCCCACCGAACCAACAAAAAATTCGGGGTGAACAAGACTGATGAGGATGCATTACTTGGGGTAGCAGTTGGAGCTCCATTTAATGTAATTTCCTTTTGAATTCTTTACTGATTATCAGTTCCATCACTAACATTTGAAAATATTTTCCGACGTTGACCCTTACAAATTACGATAATGTAAAAAAATCCGTTGTACCCGAACTCTTAGATGCTTTTTCTAAACTGCGGTGATTGGAAGTAAAAACATGTGTTATGTACATATTTTTATTACAAAAAATCATTTAACATCTAAACTAACATTTTAATGTTTATAATTAAAACAAAAGCTATTGTTGAATTTTCTTTGTTATATATCATAATTATCTTCGTTATATTATATAACATTTGACAGCAATGTATGAAAATGCTTATCATCATTAAAAATTCATTAATCCTATATATTATATATTAATATGACTGAATGTTTGGGTTTCCACTCTTACGATTCTAACAATCAATTCATTACTTTATATCTTATACTTGGTAACTTGGTTGACTTTTATTGTTATCCATTCATCATATATCGTCCCTTACGTACTGTTATGTTTTAATTTGGGATATTTTATATTTAATTCATAATAATTTGTGTCTCATTTCTTTGTATTATATAAGTATATTTGTTGTTATAGTGTATATTAGTTTCATTTTATTACATTACTTTCAATTAAGAGTACTAGTATTATTGTTTTTCTTATAAATCTTTTGATTAATGCGGCATTTTGTTGTTATGTATGTATGTATATGGGGAACCAAATGAGGGATGCGTAATTACAACAACACCAGGATATCTTTCCATAATTCCATTATAAGTACTGCAATAAAAAACACATAAATTATTTCAACAGTACTTTTTAGTTAGATGAGGTTCAATAATATAGTAAAATTTTAGTATAATGAAAAGCAAGGTGTAAAATCCAATTCATAACAGTTATTTCTATCTCAAAATATTCTATACAAAAGCTCATAAACTTACTTACCTCCAGTAGAAACAAGCTATATTTAAAAAAAAAAACAATCTTGGCAAAATTGGGGTAAGTGTCCACAGATCCTGTATTTTAAATATACGGGATGACATTTGAATTATTTCGTATCCATTTAATTTTTTAATGTGAGTTACATAAGTAATTTAATTACCTAATAATTTCATATATTATATTTTTGAACTATTTTCGAAATCATAAAGAAGGCCTCACGTAAAATTTTGACAAAAGAAGAGTAAGGAAAAATTATTATCATGAAGTGGGTATGTCAAATCGAGACATTTGAAGACAATCAAACAGGTCGAAGAATATTGTAAGACATTTTTTACAATAAGGGACCATCTCCAATAATGGATCTCCAAAAATCAACGAAAGGCAAAAACAATTTATTATTGCAGGAAAATGTAAGTGCGAGATTTATAAAACAACAAGCTAATTCGTAGACAGCAGTTCGACGTGTACAGCAAATACTAAGATGTGAATTAGATAGTATTTATGACAAAAAATGCGTCAAACCTTCATTGACCGAAAAACACAAGTTGGCCAGTCTTCGTTTCGCCGAAAAATATCACTTTTGGGATGACGAGTTAAAAACCATTATTTGTACTGACGAAAAAGAATTCCTAATGGTTTCCGAAAATATTGGAGGCTCAAAACAGAAATGTAATCGACAAAGTTTTGGAGGTGGATCACTCATGGTATGGGAAAACTCCAGTTTGCTTTGTAACAACAAAAATTATTTACTCGATGAAGTTCTAATTGATTTTGGAGAGGAATTTGTTGAAAATGAATTGATTTTGCAGCAAGACAATGCAGCGATTCATCGTTCCAAGACCACGGTTGATTTCATGCTGGCTCGGAATATAAAAATTCTCGATTGGCCTGCAATTACTCCCGACCTAAACCCTATCTAAAACCTTCGGTGCATGTTATCAGCCAAGGTTTTAGATCACTATCTAAAAACCGAGGGACTAATTCACACGTATACAGTACGTTCAAAGTATACAGTTTTTCCTTCTCGCGGAAAACGTTTTTTTTCACTATTTTTTGCAAGTCAACACTTCTGCAATTGCGACTAGCGACGAGCTTAATTTGGCAAATTTCTTTCTATCTTCCTAATGTGTCTCAGAATCAGAAACTTTATGAAGCAGCCTTTCGAACGAAGCAAATGGAATTAGGAAAACTGCAAAGTATTTAAATAAGAATTGTACATTTTTAAAGAGATGGTCCGACTAATATGATGAAACTGAAAGAAGATAACAAGCCAAGAGAATGGAGTAATGACGTGACATCTTAAAGTGAGTACAAAGCTGTTGATTTCCTTTTAAATAGAAACCACTGCTCAGTCTAAAAGAATAACAAATGTTCTTTAAAGGGATTGGATACGAGTATAACTCAAAATACAAAACAGACAGAACTAAGGGATCTGTCATCTACCAGAAGTACTCTAATGAAACCTCTTCATTGAAAACACACATTGAACAAGATTGCATTGGGCGCAAAACTAACCATAACTGGAAACTACAAAAAGGCAATTATCCGAAGCATAGAGCAGCTTCTGTACTCAATGGAACCAAGAAAACCTTATTGTGGCTTTAGATTGGCCATTACAGTCACCAGACGCCAATCCAATAAAGAATATTAGGGACTTTAATTAAAGCCAACATTTAGAGAAAGCATTTAACATTAATAAAAGATTTCATTAGGCTACAACCTACTTTCTGTGGAATATGAATAAAACTAAATTAAAAATCTCCATTCAAAACAATGTAATTTCTATATTTACTACATTTTTCTTAACGTTACGACATGATAAAATCGACTCAGCTCATAATGCTGATTATGTAAATATATATTCTTATGGCCCAAGGCTAGCGACCAGAGATGGAAAGCAAGCTCCCAACATCAGCAAAAGAAGACTTCGTTACAATCATCACCCAGACTGACTCCGAGGTACCCTGGACAGCGACTGACTCTGTTGAACCACATCAAAACTAATACGCGCTGTTAGTCATTCTTCGACAACGATATACAGAAACGACTTAATTTGTATGCATACTTTTAATAGGGTCACCGACATTTCCTTCAGGGCAAAATTAATATATCCTGTTCAGAGTATAATTACAAAAGTCCCTACACGCAAAAAATTCGAAAATATTTTTGCCCGGGGATACCGAACAAAATTTCCTTAATTCTAAGGGTTAAGCTGTCTGTATATACATATGAATAAGTTAGATGTGATGTTCTGAGTCGACGATGGAGCAGACTTTCCATTGCCTGAAGAACAGCAAAGCGGCGGATGCCGATGGACTGCCGGCCGAGCTATTCAAATACGGCGGCGAAGAACTGATAAGGAGCATGCATCAGCTTCTTTGTAATATATGGTCGAACGAAAGCATGCCCAACAATTGGAATTTAAGTGCTCCACAAAAAGGGAGACCCCACAATCTTTGCAAACTACCGTGGGATAAGCCTTGCGTATAAGGTTATATCGAGCGTACTGTGTGAAAGATTAAAGCCCACCGTCAACAAACTGACAGGACCTTATCAGTGTGACTTTAGACCTGGCAAATCAACAACCGACCAAATATTCACCATGCGCCAAATCTTGGAAAAGACCCGTGAATGAATAATCGACACACACCACCTTTTCGTCGATTTCAAAGCTGCTTCGATAACATGAAAAGGAGTTGCCTTTATACCGCGATGTCTGAATTTGGTATCCCCGCAAAACTATTACGGCTGTGTAAACTGACGTTGAGTAACACCAAAAGCTCCGTCAGGATCGGGAAGGACTTCTCACAGCCGTTCGATACCAAACGAGGTTTCAGAAAAGACGACTCCCTATCGTACGACTTCTTCAATCTGCCGCTGGAGAAAATATTTCGAACTGCAGAACTTAATTGAGCAGGTACAATCTTTTATAAGAGTGTAAAACTGCTGGCATATACCGATTATATTGATATCATCGGCCTCAACCCCCTGCCGTTACTTTTGCGTTCTCCAAACGGGCAGTGAACGAGGGCAAGACGAAATATCTTCAGTCATCAAACAAACAGTCGTCACACTCGCGACTTGGCTCTCCCCTCACTATTGACAGTTTTAACTTTGAAGTTGTAGATAATTTCTTTATTTAGGGACCAGTATAAACACCACCAAGAATGTCAGCCTGGAAATCCAACGCAGCATAATTCCTGCCCACAGGTGCTACTTCGGACTGAGTTCTCGACCAACAAAAACAAACTCTATGTCTCACACATTATTTCCGTCCTGCTATATGGTGCAGAGGCTTGGACGATGACACCAACTCATGAGTCGACGTCGCCAGTTTTCGAAAAAAGCTTTATATTATTAAATTTATTAGCTTCATTTGATTTTGATAATTTGGTTGGTACGCATAAGGTTCTGGTAGACAATATTTTTTATGGGATGTATTAAAATTTATACTTAATTTTTAGATTTGTTCGTTCAACTCTAAATAAAATCTTGTTTGCTAACTAAAAAATAGTTATAAATTGGAACCATGTGTAGAAAACGAGTGAACTAATATTAATTCCATTAGTTCTATAGATTGAAACCATAACCGAAACTTGTAACATAATGCATCAAAGGGACTCATGGGAAAAAAACCACCGGCAACCTTCCCTCAGAAAACTCACTTAGTCTTTTCTTCAGCAACTCCTCCCTATTTACACATCCCTTGGCGGTATATGAACTGCCACACGTTGCCTTTGTGAGGCAGTGATCCAAGTTTTCAGAACTACATTTTCATAAATCCTTCCCTGAGCCTAAGAGCGCACTTCGCAGCAATAAATCAGCCTGCAATGTCCACGGAAAATATATATACGTATTTTTCCAAATGTGAAGCGAAATAATACCCGATGTTTTGAAGATAAGAAAATTCATTTTCAGCAGATTTGGTAGGCATTTTGGTACCCAAAAATTTCTGCACTGGTAAGCGGACGTGTGAAGTTAGCTTGCAGAAATATGATAGAGATATCGACCGCTGGTTTATGTATGTATGTCCTCGCCTTTTTCTAATATGTACATAATTATACAAAAGTTACCTCAATATCGATATTCAAGCCTGCATTGGCCGGCCGTTAGTTTGTTTCTGTTTCATTTAACTAGTTAAAAAGACTTCGTCGACTAGTGTTCAATCACCTTCGTTGACACATATTGTAGTTGGAAGCCGTCTGTGATATGATTAAGTTTTGGTACCAATACACAATAGTTATGATACATGAAGTGGCAATTGTTAAATATACTCGCGCTTGCAAGACTATATTGCTTCTACTTGTTTGCATAGCTGCGGGTTGCTCACCTAGAAATGAACATCATGATGGTATGAAATTATATTATATTTATTCTAAAGTGTTATTCAAAGAATTTTTTTACCCATGAGTACATGTACCCTTACAGAAGCTGGTATTGCTCCGGTTGGTACACAAGTATAGTTCCCAGAGTCACGCAGCGAAGCTCGAGTCAGCATTAAACGACTTGTGGTACCTACATCTGTTTTTTCCGTTTCTAAACTGATTCCGCCACGTTGAGAATCAAAGTCAACCACCGATGCGCCATGATACCTACATAATAAAGTTCTATTTTCAGATAAACGACTTAAATTAAACATACACACTAAAAGAAAATGACAAAACGAAAGAAAAGGGAGCTCCCACAACAACAAATTTCATGTTCTTAATGGTTGAGTTTATAGGTGTGTTGGAGCTGTATAATAATGAATAAGTATAAAAAAAAATGCTTAATTAAATTTTTTAACAACATTTGAAAGTATTTAATCTAATAACATATATGTATATTAGTTTTAAAAAAAGCAAAGCTGCTTTTATTGATATAAATTTATAGAAACAGTTTTTTAACTTTTTTTCCCACAGGTGCCTCTTGTTACTGTGATTCCACGATTTGTGGGCGTGACAATGGTCCGATTACGCTAATCTATGAACTCGTTCTCACTGTATTTTGCCAAGAACCACGTGTACCACTCCCATATAATTTCTTTTACAAAAGTTCAAAAGTATGATAAATCAAAAAGTAAATGTTTCAGATATTTTAAATTTTACCTTTCATATATATCGAGACTTACTTAAACGATTTCAAATAAATTCGGTGCATAAGTTTCGTCTAACATTTCTATGTTTCAGTATTATGATGAAGGATATCGGATTACAACCTACAACATCTATTTCACATATAACACAATTTTATAATTCATTCTGTTAGCAGTCTCTAGTTACTCTTTGAGACCTTTATAGGTCGTAAAATATTGTCTAAAATTTGTGACTTGACCAGGTAACAAAATTAAAGAGAACTCTTGTTTGCCATTTTGAATATACTGAATAGAGATTGTCGTTTTTTATGCTTTGTAAATCAATTTCATATAAAATTCGTAAATATTCTGAAACAAAGTCAGCATATATATTTTTTTTTTTATTGGTAATTGCTTTTTCGCTATGTTATAGAAAATTTAATATATGTTATCGACATATTTATTTTCATTCAAGTGTAAATATATCTCTAAATAATGAAATGTAAAAGCTGATTAGACCTGTTCGTTTTCAATTGAGAGATTTTTGTGACTGTCATGATCACTTTCTGAATTGCAAAATCGTCACAAATATTGTTTCTAATTTAAGATCTCAATTTTAGAGACTTTTGACTGTATCACAGCCTAGAATTGCTCGATTAAATTCGATCTAATACTTTCACATTCCAATATACAAATAAAGCACCAATTAATGTAGCGGGGCAAAATTCTTCCCGAATGTACCTTTGGAGTGTGCCAGCTATGACCAAAAATTGTCCAAATCGAACAAAAGTTGTTAAAGCCTCTAGGTATCGAATATGTGGACCCCCAGTACCTTTGATTGACTTATTATCGAAAATATCGGTCAATGTATGATGTATATAACTGAAATTAGTAGTAATCCTTTCCTGATAATAGTATGTCTGAATGTAAAAAATGGGCTGAATCCGATCAATAATTCGCTTAACCCCCATATACCTAATATAAAGATTTTCACGCTTTCAGGTGATTTCTGCCACATACATATATAGCCCAATATGTGAGTTATCTCAATAAAGATGCGCATTCTATTAGCATGGCATGCTAATTGTATGCAATATTGGTAGGTAAAATCTTTTCGGTAACATAACATTTTCCCAGCACCTAAAGGACATACTTTGATTCTTGCTGGTTGCAAGCATATAAAATGTTCTTTTACATGCAAACATTGACCTTTCTTACTTGTTTAAGTTATACACGTATCAATCTGTAATCTTTGTGTAAGACATTTGTATATTTTTTTATAGTTTTTTTATCTTACCAAGCCACGCTAGATGCATGAATGTTTACGGAACAAGCTAATGCGATTGTACTATCCCGCTTTACATGAATCTCTGTTGAGCCGAGAATTTTCGCACGCGCCGCTAAAGAAATAAAAAAGATATAAACATACTATATATGTATATTATATTGAAAATGTGTATGTAAAATATAAAATCATTCTTCTGAAAACGCGCATTATATGGCATACCAGCTGTATGCGCAATAATTTTAAGCGTTGAAATTCTTGTTGTCTCAACTGAACCTTCCCCTCACCCTCAAATTTTGCTTTAAATGTCTACAAATAAATTTCGCATAGTTAATAGTCATTACAAACCTTTTGATTTTTAAAAACATATTTTACGTAAGAGCAATAATGTCTGATAATTAACTCTTCATAAATAAAAATGTTTGTCAAAGCCATATGCAAATAATATTCTGAAGCAACTGGTTGCAAGAATATAAAAGAATCAACAACCAATAAAGAAATGGTTAAAATTGAAGTGTGAAACTGCATATAGTTAGAGAAAAATGAGTATTATATAAGATCTGATATTAAACCATCGAAAAATGCTTAATAATGTTCTCTAAATACAGGGTAGCTGATGAATTTTGCTACATTAAGAAACTCAAATAATTTTTTTCAGTGTATGGAATTCATTTATTTTATTTATGTTAAAGCTCATCCAATTTTATTAAATATAGCTTAATTAGTTCTAAAAATAATGGAATTTAAATGCCCCCCCCTGCTCGTTGATGCATGTGCGGCATCTTACCAAAAAGTTGTTCATTTCTGCTTGGAGAGTTGAGACAAGAACAGCCGCAATTGTTTCTCAAATGGATTACCTTAGTTCATTCAAATTTGTTGCTTTTGCTTTGTATACTTCCTGTTTCCAATAACCCCACAAGAAAAAGTCAGGTGCAGCAAGGTCAGGCGACCTGGGTGGCCAACGGAATGTGGAATTTCTGGATATCAGCTTATTGGAAAATTTTCGTCGCAATTCTGTCATAACAAGTTGGGCTATGTGAGGAGCTGCACCATCTTGCTGAAACCACACAGAGTTGAAATAAATTCTCATTCGGCATAATTCTGGATAGAAAAACTCTCTCAACATGCTCAAGTAACGGCCTCCAGTAACCGTATCGGTGTGACCGTTTTCTTCGAAGAAGTAGGGCCCGACAATGCAGCGTGATGAAACTGCACACCACACTGTGACACGAAGTGGATGCAATTCCGTCTCATGGAGTATCTGTGGGTTGGAAGCACTCAATATTCGACAATTTTGTTTGTTTATGTTGCCGTTTAAATCGAAATGGGCCTCGTCAGACATGAAAAGACAGTTCAACATGTTTCCATCCTCTTCCACCATTTGAAGCATCTTCTGGCAAAATTCCAAGCGAATCGGCAAATCTGCAACGTTCAGTTTGTTGGCCATTTGAATTTTATATGGGAATAAGTCCAAATMWKTGTGCATAATTGACTGTAATGACTGTCTGCTTACACCCATTTGAGCAGATAAGCTTCTTGTCGAAACACCTGGATTGTTTTGTATGGCAGCAGCTACAGCAGCGATTGTTTCCTCCGTTCGAACTGAAGGGTTTCGATGGTAAGGTCTTCTGTTGACTGTCCCATGCTCGGCAAAATTGTKTACAAGTCTCATTATGGTCCATCTGCTCGGAGGATTGCCGCCAAACGTGCGCCWATACTCTCTTTGAACCGAAACTACGGACTCCAGTGCGTGCTAGCGGCGGACAATCCAAATCCTTGTTTCAGTGTCCCAGTTATCCATTTTTGTTAAATGTAAAAGTCAATCTGCAAAAAAAATAAAAAATTAACCAGATTCATTAAATAGAAAAAAAGTTATTTAATTTTTTTTTGGTAGCGGCTTTCATCAGCCACTCTGTAAATTTTCCTTAGCGCTGGACGATACTCAAGGAAATCGAGAACTTATCATTCTAGTCTTGTGATGGTCAATAGTGCACAAAATATTTATATATTTCCATCGTACATTTTAAAACTTAATCGCAGCTATTATTCTGTCTCACGTAACTTCATCAGTAAAGTTAATATATTAGTTTAATACCATGTTCCGACAAAAAGTTTTAAGTGGTTAGATTACATATAATCTATTACTAAACTGGACTGTTGGTTTTGTTTTAACGAGCGGAGACTCGTTGCATGCAGGACATACGTTGAGTATGTCAGGGTCTATTCTGGATAAGTAGGAGTTTAACCCGCTACAATATCCAGAACGAAGTTGCGCTAGGGTCACTAGCGTTTCTCGCGGCAACTCGAGCTCTTCGTCAACGATAGGTGGTGGTTTGACTCCAAGAACGCCATTCACGGGAAGGGAGCCTGTGAAGGTGTTGATGGCTCTACTGTGAATGGCGGTCAGTGCCTGTCGAAAGTCTGTTGCGTCTGAGGTCCGGTCGGCGTACTGTACGCCGTCGTCGACGTGGTTGAGGAATGACTACTTGATGCTCCTAGGAGGCGGTTCCGCTCCTAGCAGATAGCTGCAAGGATGGTTTCTACGAAAAGATTCTAGCAGGAACTGCTTGAAGAGGAGTTCATTATGCTCCTTAACTGGGAGCATAAGCATCTCACTATGTGGTGTTCGATGGCATACATCGAGAGGCATCCCGTGGTGGTCCGGAGTGCTGTATTCTGCCAGGTCTGGAGTTTTCAATTTTTGTTTGCATTTTTTCTTGTTTAAATATTTTTCTCTTTGTAATGCATAAATCAGGTGTGATAATCTAACAGATTTTCTTACTGGCAAGATGGTAATACTAAATTATAGTCCCACAGAGAGATTTTGAGTAGATTAAATCTTCAAATCTCCTTGGTGACGAGATTAACAAGTGTAATTTTTTATGGCGGTCAGAACATGGTATAAATCAAATGAAACAGAAATCCTAAAATTAAATCAATTTATTTATATTTCCGAATTGTTTACATTTTATTAGAAACCAATTACCAATTCGCATGCATTTATAAAAACGCACTTTATCAAAATTAGAACACAATGTACTTTTATCAAAATTTTGATATATGTTTACGAGTATTAATGACTGCAGATCTAACCTTTTGCATCATAGTATTGGGATTCGGTTATCTTATCTCTATTATCGGCCTCCGCTGCAAATGTAAGAGCAAAATAACAATTGCATTACTTATGAACTTATTTAATTTATTTACTTATAGAACGATTTGTAATAATTATCGTTACTATATTATATGTTTTTAAAGACCTATATTAAGATGCAGTATGAAAATCCGGCCAAATGAAAGACAAAACCGAGATCTAATTACTAAAGCAACACAAATAATATCAATATTTATTAAAGTAAGGAAATGTTACTTTCGAGCGCAGCTGAATATAATATATCATATTCTCGCACTTTGTAAGAATTACAGAAATGTGAAACAGTTCCAAACTTCAATCAATCAGAAGGACGGAAACCATTATTTTTGACATATGAAGGCAACTTCTGAACTAATCGCATTGGCATTTGGCACTTTTTAAGTGACTACCCCATGTAAACATGTGATAGCCATTCGATTTCACCCAAAGTAAAGATGTCATTTAATTGGTATGCGACAAACTAGCACAGGCCTTTTTGGATTGTTCTTACCCATTGCCAATTTTTAACCGATCCACATGTAAATCGACTAGACTTACGCTATGTTGGGCGACAATGGCGGACTATACCTACCCACAACCCGTACCTCCTTAGAGCGCCAAATACCTGCCTGTAGCAGGTTTTATGAAACGGACGCACGGACGATACCATAAATGGACTCACCAACTTACATAATGTATTGGCAGCATGTTGTATCTGAAAGATGTGGTATTATTCATTTTTGGGTATGCGTAATCGGGATTTGCTATCTTATTAAAACCAGTAATTAGGATTGGTGCAAAAGGAACACAACACAAATCGAGTCTCCGATGAACGAGATATTTTGTTAACCATTGCTTGCAGTCACTTTAATCACCTTTCCTGTCATAAAAAAATGATAGGATTAAACGATTTAAAATAATAATAAAATGCCTAACCCTAGAAAACACATTTCAGGTGGGGAAATCGCATAAAATTTGTAATATCTGAAGTTGTAGACATATTTGCTTATTTTCATACAATCTAGCCCCGCTCATTTATGTGCATATGTATGTATGTATATAAAAAGTATGTATATTATATATATTAAAAATAAACTTGTAGATCTGCAGAGTCTGCTAAAATTTAAGGTATCGGAGATGACAAAAATGTATGTGGATCACACCACGTCAAGTGGTGGCAAAATCACCGATTTTGAAAATTATCAGTTCATTAGGTGAGGAACAAGAACTCGTGTCATAAATATTTCGCCAAATTCCCTTTTTTGCTAAAGTTATTTAAGGTTGAAATTTAGAGCATGATAAAATTATAAAACTATTTTCTCATAAACTACTACTAACATATATAATAGAGTTATTTTTTCACGGTCCATTTGTTAAAATATAATATTATTTTACATATTTTTTTGTTAAACAATTGAAATTTTTCAAACATATCATGCACATCTCAGAAAATGTTTACTTTTAATAATCTGCCAAAAATAAATGTATTCATTAATGCCATTCCAAAGATATTGAATTTTTTGTCACCTCTTCTGTTATAGCATTGACAGACGGCAGCATTAATAATCCAGATTAATTCAGGAGTAAGGGAAGATAACTCCGTTGCTAAATCCCATTTAATCCTCAGAATTTTAAAGAGTTAGGTGTATTTTCGTTGGCAACATTGTTAAAAATGCCCAATTTTAATCTATACAAGCAACACTGATAGATGTTTTTTAAATTTTCAATAATAAAACAAGAAGTTTTATATTATGATGTTATGTCATGATGCAGTTTTTAAAATAAAAGTTAATACGTTTGTGTAATAAAAAAAGGTTTTGTAAAATTGGTCAGCTAACAACCGTAATGTTTATCTTCTATCCATTTTCATTGAGTATATAGTATTACAAAAATGACAATCAGGTGTTTACAAAAGTTTCAAACTCGCATAGCTGCCGTCTGTCACCTACAAATTTGGATCTGATTAAGTGCGGAGTTAATTCGGATTAACGCTGCCGTCTGTCAAAGCTTTTACAGGCTGCAAACGAAGGCTGAACCGCGTGCTGAAGGCGTGCGGGAGCGTGTCTATAAATAACATGAGATATAGCATTAACTAATGGTTATATTTGTTGTGAAGAAGCTTGTGTTAGTTTATAAAAGAATGGATCATACAAGTATTTCGTGTGTTAATAAAGCATTGCTTTTTGTTAAGTTGGAAAGAGACGAAATGAGCACCTAGGACAATGAAGGCAGTGCACGCAGTTGTATTATTTTTTAGGAATGATCAGTTTGAAATAGTAGGAGATATAGCATTAACTAATGGTTATAATCTAACTAATAGAAATCACATAAATGGTAGTAGTATTATTATCTATGGGGCACCCACAGTAGAGCGTGGACGGGTCTCTCGTAATGTATAATTTACATTTCTTTGTATTTTTATTTTGCCGCAGATTAAGAGATATCGTTTTTTAGTATATTTATGTAGTATAAGGAACATAACAATTGCTCCACAATGCGTTAACATTTTTATAATAATTATTTAATAATGCTATATGTATTACAAAAACTAAATAAATATAAGCAGTGAGTAATAATTCGCAATGGTTTAAAAAATTTTATGCAATTACCCATTTTAACATAATATAACATATAATATTTTCATACAATAACATATAATATTTTCCACGTTGGATTCATCATTTCTCTTCCGAAGCTATTTTGTACTTTTCATTGCTTGTGTTTTTTACGTGGCGGGTCTCAAATTCAGCGCACAATCCTTTAGGTCGCCTTCAACCGGATGTTTTCTGACTACCCAGATGATACTTGGTCAAAGACCTGAAATTGTGAGCTGCCTGAGCGTTATGTAAAAATTCGTTTCAATACAATCAATTTTATGAGAGTGTACAGCTGTTGGCGTATGCGAATGATAAGGATGTCCGAATGAACGAAAACACTCCAGCTCTGAAGTATTCGACGCAGCACCCGCCGGGGGAAGTAGAGGAAGAGGAAGACTTAAACTCCATTGGAAGAACCAGGTGGAGAAGAACCTGGCCTCGCTTAGAATATCCAATTGGCGCCACGTAACGAAAAGAAGAAACAACTCACGCGCTGTTGTTAACTAACCGTGGGAAGAACCAGGTGGAGAAGAACCTGGCCTCGCTTAGAATATCCAATTGGCGCCACGTAACGAAAAGAAGAAACAACTGGCGCGCTGTTGTTAACTCGGCTATAATCGCGAAAGTTACGTACTACTACCACCAACACCCAATACCAAACCTCGAACCTCTACCACAACTTCAGATATTGAATGTGTATAACGATACTCAAATGTTGCTGCCTAATCGACATTGGTGTCGTTTCACCTAAATCGTTATGTAAACAGTCTGCTAAAATGTTGCTGCATTATACATAACATAGTACAACAGCTAATCTGGGGGGTGAGAAATTCCAAGTGAGGGTGATGGTACTAGGTCAGTATAGTAAAACCTTCAAAGAGTTTGGCGTTCGTATGTATCAGTTTTTTTTATGACCTTTTAAATTTTATCTTTATTTCCCATGGTTTTCCATCTTAACAAATTAATTTTTTCCAATCAGGCGTACTAAATGGTTCAGATATACGAAAGCTGATTAAAAGTGATGCATTCAACAATGTTTTGATTGACATATAGTGAATGCATGGCAGGCAATCAAAGAAGTAATAGAAGGCTTGTGGAGAAAGCATCGTGCTAACAACTACGATATTTCTGTCGCAAGGATGTTAAGAGCATTTTTTTTTTTTTTTTTTTTTTTGGGGGGAGAATTTCTCACCCCCCAGCCAATAATCCCAAAAATGTTCCACAGTGTAATCAATATAAAAGCAGTTTCATATTTCGAATGTTTACGATTTAACTT